AACAATTTTGGTGTCTAAGTTCTGGTGATGGATTATATGGGGGCCTGACGAGGCTGAAGGTCGGGCCTCAGCTCAAGAGCCATGGAGTGAAATTTACAGCCATTGGATAGTCGTTAGCATCTTTAGAGGAGAGCTGATAGAGGCGAGGGTGCTAGTTAGCCAATTACGGCTGGTAGAGTGGACAGGGTCTTGCGCCAGCAGGGTCCAGCTCGCGCGGCCCGCGTGCCCTTGACTACTCCGAGCGCTTGCAGAAGCTAGCGGTGCGGCCGTTCGGTAAAGCGCATGCCGCTGCCTACACATTGCTACCGGCGCGAGACCCTGTCCGCTCTACCAGCCATAATTGGCTAACTAGCACCCTCACCTCTATCAGCTCTCCTCTAAAGATGCTAACGACTATCCAATGGCTGTGAATTTCGCTCCATGGCTCTCGAGCTGAGGCCCGACCTTCAGCCTCATCAGGCCCCCGCGTAGTCCGTCACCAGAACTTGGGCACCGAAATTGTTCTACGGAACTTGTCCATGTACATTCTCTATGTGTAGTCAACAATTCTCACAAAGCTATAGCACCGCAGAACTCGAACCATGGTAACCTCGCGATTGCAGCGACTAAACCCATTCCGCAAGGATCGTCAGCAATCTGTACGTATCGACCCCCGATATCCTGCCTGTGTCAGGCTGACTGACGCTGTAGCAGACAGGCAGCTCGTCGAAGCCGCAAGAACCGTCTAAGGCATCCGCCCATGGTCTCAAGGTCGTAGCGGAGGGAGGGCAGCCGGTGGTGGAGTAAGCCGTCCGTAGCAACACAAGAGCCCGTGCTAACATTGTCTAGTATCGTTGCTGTCCATGGCTTGAACGGGCACCGCGACGACACCTGGACGGCAGCGAACGGCACCCACTGGCTCCGCGATCTCTTACCAGAAGATATCCCAAATGCGCGCATATTCTGCTGGGGATACGATGCAAACACGCACGGCAAGCGCGTTAGCCACCAATTCCTCCACGATCATGCAGAGCAGCTGGTATCGGATCTCTGCCTCAGGAGAAAGCGTACAAATGTGAGATGAGAGCAGATATGAAAAAGATGTGGTTCTGACAGTGGAAGACCATGAAACGACCAATAATCTTCGTGGCGCACAGCCTGGGTGGCATCATCGTCAAAGGTGTCAGTCTTGCTCCTCTCTCTCTCTCTCGTATGCGCAGCTGACCAGGCCAAGGCTCTCATTCATTCGGACGCGGCACGGAAAGGCGCACTGGAAGAACATCGGTCGATCAAGACGTCGACGTACGGAATCCTGTTCATGGGCACACCTCACCAGGGCGGCAATGGAGTACAGTTCGGAAAGCTGCTGGTGAATGCGGCATCGGTATACAAGGCCACCAACAGCCGACTGCTAGAGCATTTGGAGCGAGACTCGGAATGGCTCCAGCAGCAGCTTAGACAGTACGGGCCGATCAGTGGGGAGTTCATGACGAAGTTTGCGTACGAGGAGTACGAGACGCCGACAGCGCTAGGTCATTCGATCGTGGTATGCTCTCATGTTGGCCGCAGGGATCGCAAGTACTGATGATACAGGTGGTGCCAAAAGCATCCGCGGTCGTTCCAGGCGCCGCCGACGCAGAGCAGATCATGATCCACGCTGACCACAGAGAAATGGTTAAGTTCGCGTCGAAAGAGCATAATGACTATGAGAAAGTTTCAGACCATTTGATTATTATGGTTGAAAGTGCAGGCAGCGTCATCAGCCTACGATGGGAAGAAGAGGTGAGGGTTGATGTGGGTATGTAGCCCTAGTAAGTACATATCGACAATAGCAATAATAGTAACTGTCTATAGCTCGAAGCAATCTTAACCAGAGCTTCTCTGTCGTCTTTCGCTTGTCTGAGGCCTCTGAGACCAGCCACTTTGTTGCGAGACAATCGGAACTCGCTGCAATGCACGACGCGCTCAGTGAGGGGAGCGGTCGCCGATCAGTCACTCTGCACGGCCTAGGCGGGATCGGGAAGACGCAGCTGGCGATTGCATACACCAAGGTGCATCGAGACGAGTATTCGGCGATATTTTGGCTGAACATCAAAGACGAAGTGTCGGTGAAGCAGAGCTACTTGCGGCTAGCAAAGCGGATCTTACAGGATTGCCCATCAGCTAGCCAGCTAGGTGTGTTCGCAGATGACAAGAGGCAAGACGAAGTGGTGGCAGCAGTTAAACGGTGGCTGGAGCATGCCAAAAACAGGGAGTGGTTAGTGGTGTTGGACAACTACGACAACCCTAAGGGGCCAGGCAATGCGGATCCCGGCGCAGTCGATATCCGACAGTTTCTGCCGGAAGCACACCATGGCTCGGTAATCGTCACGACAAGGTCGTCGAAGGTCAGTGTGGGCCGTCGCCTGAAGGTAGGCAAGCTAGAAGACGTCCGCGACAGTCTGCAGATCCTGTCTGATGCATCGCATCGTAAGGGTGTGATAGACGGTGAGTTTGTTTGATTCCTGTACTGTACTGTGCAGTAGATGCAACGCTAACGCATCTAGATCCCGATGCCGCCGAGCTTGCCAGAGAACTGGATGGACTGCCACTGGCCTTGGCTACAGCGGGCGCCTACCTTGATCAGGTGACGACAAGCTTTGCCGACTACCTTCGTCTGTACCGGGCGTCATGGCGAAGGTTGCAGCAAATAAGTCCCGAAGTAAGCACATACGAAGACCGACAACTGTACTCGACATGGCAGCTCTCTTTAGATCACATTAAGAAGCAGAGCGAATTATCAACCAAGCTGCTCCAGCTGTGGGCATACTTTGACAACCAGGACCTCTGGTTTGAGCTTCTGAGACAAGGGAGGGCCAAAGGGCCGCCATGGCTTTGTCAACTAACGGAGGATGAGCTGAGTTTCAACGAGGCAGTGCGGGTGCTATGCGACTACGGTTTGATAGAGGTGGACAAGTCCTCTGAAGGACATGTAGTCGAGTCTCAGGGGTACGGGATGCACGGCTGTGTGCACTCCTGGACAGTGCATGTAGTCAACCAAGAATGGGATTCGGAGATGGCCGGAGTGGCTCTGGAGTGTATAGGCAGACATGCACACAAGAAAGATGCACAGCAGTGGTGGCTAACTCAACGTCGGCTTTTGCGGCACTTGACAAGGTGTTGGAGGTTTATTGTGGATGGCAGATTGGATGAGGAGGGGAAGGAGTGGATTCTACATACCTTTGGAGACGTGTGCTCGGATCAGGGACGGCTTGACGAGGCGGAGAAGATGTACTTGCGAGCGCTGCAACGCTACGAGAAGGCATGGGGACCAGACCATACATCAACACTCAACACGGTCAACAACTTGGGCAACCTCTACGCAGACTTGGGACGGCTTGACGAGGCAGAGAAGATGTACTTGCGAGCGCTGCAAGGCTACGAGAAG